GGTCCGCATGACTGGAAGGAGGGGGACGCAAATGGACAAGAAGAAGGAGAGGGGCGGAAATCAAAAGGGATCGCGAGGAGAGGGTGGGGGGGGGAAGACGAGGAGGGCGACGAGGAGGGCGGGAGGCCACTTTTCAGCTCAGGAAGTCCTCGCCACAGAGAGCCTTGAGAATCTTTTGTCGAGCGATGAAGGTAATCCTAGCGGCGGCGATCATGATGGTGAGACAGAGCTCGGGCCACGTGGCTGTAGCGATGGCAGGGAAAACGCCGACGATGGTGGACCGGCAAGGTCCGAGGGGGCTGGAGGAGAAGATGGGAGAAGCGTTGAGGGTGAGGTTGATGGTGTGGTTGGTGGCAGAGGTGCTGCTGCTGCTGCTGCTCACGGGGAAGAGGACAAGGACGGAGACGATGATAATGAAGAGGGGGGCAATGGGCAGGCAACAGGGGATGCGTGGTCTTTGTTCAAGCTACTACAGATTTTAAGTGTGAGGCTTGACAAAAAAAAAAAAAAAAAAAAAAAAAAAAAAAAGGTGTGAGGCTTGACACAAGCTCTGGTCTGCAGGAGGAAGTTGGAATTGAAGAGTTCCTAGCAGCTACACCTGATATTCTTGCCCACGTGGAGGAGCTGCTGAATCCGCGAAAGGCTGCAAAGAGATGGCGATGGTAAAGAGAGGAAGACGCCACGTCCGCGTCGCCCGCGATGAGTTTCATTCATTCAATGGTCGTTTTCCCTCCCCTCCATCGCTTCCTCACTACTGTCTTCGTCCTCTGTCTATCTGTTTCCCTCCTGTCCTTCCCTTCCTGTTCATCAAGCAACTTCAGGCAGAGCAACTTCAGGCAGCCCTTCATCCTGCTGATTGCCGGGGCGAGGTCCCACAGGTAGCAAAGAGGGTCGCATTAACCGCCTGAATGTGGACCTGCTGTTCGCAGTGATGCAGAAAAGCAGATCAATCTCCATTTTCCACACCTGTCCTCAGCACAGATCCAGATTCGGGCGTTTAATCCAATCCTCTTTGCTACCGTTGTGCGACCTGGGCCCCGTGACCATCCGACAAATCCAGCTGCAAAGACGAGTCGGCTGTCAATAAATTCAAAAATAAAATTAAAAACTAAAAAAACGAGAAGACGTGCGACCTCTCTCTACTACTCACCCCATGAACAAACCGCCAAAAGATATGGCGCTGTATCTTCCCATGTTCAAGCGGCAGATATGTTCTCCTTTTTCCACATTTGGCGAGTCGTGGAGCGAGGCGCCGGGACGATGCGAGGAGGCCGCTTGGGTTCGTTTCGAATTTCGAAATATTCAAACCATCCCGCCATGATCCCGGGGCTACGTCCCACTTGCACGAAT